ACTTTTGAGACTGACTCAGGGCAATATATATTAATATGTCTTACAGAAATATTAGTGTGTGTGTGTGTGTGTGTCTCTTTGAATCGCTTTACTACTTTTATAAGTGAACTGGAAGGGGTGGGGGTGTGTGGTGGAGCAAAATGTACTAAGTGTGCTGGAAAAAAAAAAGAATATTTAAAGATAACGCCCCTTTCCCCTTTTCCCTTCACCACACTGCGCCAGTGCACGACTTTCTAAGCAAAATCACTGATCAACGGGACACCAGTGACTGCAGGATTCGGGTTAATGCAAAGATGGCCATGGAATGCCCCATTCGGGCCCTCCTGATTAGTCGTGGCTTTTCACAAGGAGCGCCACATGAAGATCCATACAATCGGTGTTCAGTGTGGTATACAGCCCCAGTCACACCGTGCCTCGAGGGGGTCTTTTTTTTTTCTCCCCCACCCCCTCCAAGGATGTATGCGCTACCCCTCAGCTCCACAGACTTCAATTGAAAGTAAAGTAGACTCATTAATCTCCCCCCATGACTGCGTCTTTTGAACAAGCCTACCTTTGGTTTCTTTGAAAAGTTCGAGCTCAGCTCAACTTTATTTAATTATAGTGTGCCACCATTCTGTTGAGAATCGCGCATTTTTAGTCTAGACTCGAAAGTTTCCCATCTCACTCTCATTCAGGCTCACTTTTTATCTATTTAATCTTTGCTCTCCCGACTTTCAATCGAAAGTAGCGCAACTTTGATGGGAGACTAAATAACTCCTGTGAGAGCTACCTGACCTTCTTCAGGGAACTCACTTGTGATGTAGAAAGTAACCTTAAAGCACATGGGAGATGGAAAGGTGGTGGTTGCGTTACTTCTCTAATGAAATGTCTCACTAGTTTTCTTATGTTTAGTTTCTACCCTACTGGAAGTGTGGACACATGTTATCTTCGGACAGTACAGTACAAGTTGTACGGTGTAATGAGTTCAGCATTCATTCTGCAAATGGGACACAGGTAAATGACGTTAATAATAAATAATTACACGACTAACATGAGGGGGGAGTGTCACAATAAGTGTTAAGGTTGTCTTTTGGGCTAAATCGATGTCTCCCATAGACCGTTTTGATTAGGAAGGCACCATTTCTATGCTTTTACTTTAATAATTGACAACACTGATGCTGGTTAGCGTTTTAACCCATAAGCGCCCCCGCCCCCAAGAAAATGCGTTAATATCGAATCGTAACGCAGCACGCAATTTGAGGAGAGCAGTTTGGTACAGCCTTATAAAAGGCGCTTCCCATTTATCACACTAATAAAATGAATACTCTTTCGTGAGGGAATCATTCCCCCTGAGGTCCTTGTCTTATTTTAGGCTTATGGAGGACCACGAATCAGTTAACATTTTAAGTTGAAAAGCTATTTCGGTGCTATGTTTCAATTGTAATGTTTTAGAATTATGCCAGTTAAAAGTTTAACATCCATCCCAGTTTGAGGGAGTTTCAATTGCTTCTGGTGAGGATGATCGATAGGTGTGAGGTTTTCTCTTTGGTCAACTCCAGCAATATCAACTCTAGCTAATAGCAAATTGTACTTAAAACCGAATCATAAATCACCAGAGGTTCCTTACATCTGCACCAGAAAATATAGTGAGCTGCAGTGAAAATAAATCGCGTATCTAACAACTGCAATCCACTCTCCATTGGAGAAATCTGAAAAACATCTTGTACCCATCTGTTGGTCGATACACAAAATAGCATTCAATCACTGATTCACAAAAAAACGAGCAGAGCAACAACTGATGTCATATCTGCACATAGGATATTTAGTGATTCATCCGAAAATCCTAATGCAACTATCTCTCACAAACCTTTCTTCACAACCCAATGCACCTGAGGCTTTTGCTATATGAAGGTTAGGTATCAGAATAATATATTTCTCACACTTTAAACACTGGTTGTTTCTATTCAATATCTAGACCTCATCTTAAATAATTGTCTTAGATATTCTGCACGTAATCAATACACAACACACTTATGAACCAATAATAGTGTTATTCTTCTACCTGTTATCTTCAATAACTGCATGTTTATCTGTGTCCATGACTAAATGTGTCATAGAAATAAGACATTGTCTTGTATACAGTACAAATGTGTTCTTCCTGAAAAGTCCTGCATTAAGCAATGATGAGTAGATTGTAGGCAAGAAACAAATGGGAATTATTAATAGGGTACTGAACCACCACACAATGATGAAAGCATCTCCAGAGGTGGGTCTGATGAAATTGGCACTTTAGATTAAAATCAAAGATGTTGTTGTTATAAATTGTCTTCAAATAATAGCGTTGCAATAAAAATCCAAATGGCTGTCCAAAACAAGGTAGGAAGCCTGAGGTGGGACACATCTGGTTTCGTTTGGAATTCCTTTGACTCAATGCAATGGCCATGAGTTTCAAGTTAACGATTTAAAGAAAAACGTTATGAGTCTATCAATTTGCATAAATTTGTTGGTAATTACAGAATTGCATTATTTCAATCAGACCTAAAAGCATTAAATCCCCATGACCACGCTCCATACGTTGAATCCATTCAGTCTGTAATGTTCCATCGGTGGTGGAACAAGGAACCATAAAGGATTTGTAAAAGGAACTAAACAGGTTCCTGTACAATTAAAGGATTCAAGTTATTAAATGATGAACAAGATGGGTTCAAGGAATCTTTTGGAAAATGTGAATTCAAGGCCTTGTTCCCTCCTACCTCTCCGACCTACTATCGGCCTACTTAACTGCCCATACCCTCCGTTCCTCTGGCTCCGGTCTGCTCCATATCCCCCGGCCCTAACCGCCCTACCATCGGTGGCCGGGCCTTCAGCCTCTCAACCCCGAGGCTCTGGAACTTCATCCCCCAGTGCCTTCGCCTCGTCTCCTCCCTTTCCTCCTTCAAGGCCGTTCTCAAGACCTTTCTCGTTGACCGTACCTTCAGCTCCACTCTCGACTCTCTACCCCCTCCTCGCTGCCTCCCTTCCCTCCCCTCACCCTGACCATTTCCCCCCTGCTCGGGTCCCGACCCAACTGTTCAGCGCCTTGGGACGTCCTCCCGACGTGAAAAGCATAGAGATAAATGAAATCTTGTTGTTGTGTTGTTGAATAGGTGGGGGAGATGGGGATGGGCCAATCTACTCCTGTCTAAAGCTCTTACTATCGCCTACAAATGCACAGTCAGTACACTTTGTAGAAAACTCCGTGAAGCGCTTTAAGAGATTTTGACTTGGTAAAGAGCTATATTACATGTAATGATGATTATTAGTTGTAATTGTATGATTTTATCTTTTTGGCAAAAGAACAGAGCAGAACGATCTAGAATTGTTTTTCGTAGAAAACAGAATCAAGGAAGGAAACCACAATTTTCAGTTAAGTTTCAACTGAAGAGTTCTGAAGATGGATGGTTCATTTTGAGAGTCTCAATGAGGTCAACACAGTTACATCAATATTATGGTGCCCAATGTTGTACATTTGACTTTAGAAAGGGAAATGATTAGCTCAACCAAGCAACAGAGTTACAATAAAATATAATAGCAAGAAAGCTATCCTCATGATAATAGTAGAAACTTTACTGCAAAATGCCTCCTTAAATATCAAGTGCTTTTTTTTCCCCAGACGCTATTCATGTTAACATGAAAACGTATATAATTGTAAGCGTTACTTAAGTTTCCTGGGTGATGTGCATTGTCTTAGACAGTTCCTGATGTAGAACTATCAAACGCATTGGACATTGTGTGACGGTTTTAGATTTCCACCTGAACAGTGCATGATTTCCATATAAAAATTTATAAAATGATAAAGGATTTTATTTAGAACAGACCGTGAAACGATTCTGGCTGTAGATTCTGAATATTTCACTTATAATTAATTCAATGTTCTGTACGATTATCCAGCAGAAATATTTAACTTCACCCACAATCTTGTCTGTTCAGCAGAAAGGAGCACATTTGGAAGTTTCCCTTCTTGACAAGATAGTACTCCAACTTTCTGAGAATGTGTTGACTTGGGATTCAAATGACAACAGCAAGTTACCAAGTGTGTTGTGTGAGAGTTAGTCTGCATGTAAGAAGAGGGGAGACTAATTATCCATTTGCTCCTAGTGAAATATGTCAGTGCAATTGTAAATAATGTTTCATGAAAATATGTTCATGAGCGGAAACATTTTTCCACATTATTAGTAATGTCGCAAGTCTATCGCCCTAGGGTAAGTTTCTAAAACAATAACGATTGACTGAAGGTACACAATGCATTCACCTAAACATCTGGAGCTATCTCAGATCTGACCAAATTCTTTAAGCAAAACCATCTAACTTTCAAAATGAATCACTTCAATAAACAAGATCCAAAATGCTGTCTGGTCTTATCTTGTGGTATTGGTGATGAGACTTTGGCTATGACCATCATGATCTATCTTACATCACTTATTGTTGCAACGTTAACATTGCGGTGCTGTCTGTGTGTGTAGACTGTACATAGGGAGAAGAATTAACTATTGTTCACTGAGCAAATTAACTTGCTTTTTAAATTTGATTGAGTGTTCCCTTTCAATCAAATATTCTCATCTTCAAGTGATAAAGTCATCCAGCCCTACGTGCGATAACAGTTAAATATAATTGCATAAAATGCAAATGGGGGAAAAATACTTTGCAGAAAAGTGCAATACTCATCCATTGTATTTTCTTCTTGTGGAGAAGGATACAAAAATAGAACATAGCACAGACCACTGGAAGTCCCTACTTGGTTGGAGTAAGACACTGAGGTTGGTGTCGCGTTCAAAATAGTGACAAAAAAATTAAAATAAAAAAATTAATTTACATATTTACATTAATTATATCACAGAGAGCTTTAACCGGCAATCCTACGTACAGTATATCGTTCTACAAAATAAATTCTGTCCTATTTTAGAATGCGAGTCCAGCTGGAGAACATCCAACACCGTAAATCATCTGTTCAAAGTCCATTAAGTTAATCGCAGAGGGAGTGTTTATTGGGCTGGTCTCCTTTTCTCAGACTTGCTGGCAGGTTTGAGGAGATTTTCCCGGTACTTGGAACTCGTGTGGAATAATCGAACCATCTCGTGGTCTTTGCTGTCCAGGACCCTCGGCAGGAAGAGGGAGGATTTTTGAGTCCTGCGCGTTTTGAAGCCTCGCCTCGGTCGACCTTTGCCATTGATGGACACGTACCACAGTCTCTCGCCGCTCCGCTTGCGCTTGGTCCCGGCTGTGTTGGGGAGGGTTTTGTAGGCTCGGGACGCGTACGTGTTATACCCGAGTTCGTGAATCCGTTCCACGAACTCACACTCGGGATTGTAGGCTTCCTGCAACAACGGGTCAAAAACGCACAACGCGGTTAGATTTGCGCGTCCACTTTCCACTCGTCCGCTCTCAATGCACNTTTTTTTCTCTCTGAAACCACCATCACGTTCAGAGTTCGATGCAAATCTGCTCACCAACTAAGTCAACTAAGTCACGTATTTAACAGTGTTTCAGTAGAAAGACGCTACCTGTTTTTGTTATAACGGTTTAGCATATAAAAAACTATTAAAGGGTAATGTATAGTTATCCAATATAGTGCAGTATCAGACAGTACAAATATATCAGTCTCTAAAGGATGTTCAGCACACATGACTGCGATTGTTGCAGTCAGTCAGGTTTTGTGTCACTCCTCTTGTCAGCAATATATAATTACTCTAATTTGTGAAATTATATCCACCCTCAGCACCTGTGTATCATACATGTAGAAAGGAAGGGGATGTCCTCCCAGTTTATGAAGCGTGGGTTTGTATGGTACAAAACAATGGGGAGAGGTTTAAGATAATGCCAGTATATTGTTCCTCTTATTTTAATTCGGCAGTTAAGACACTGTTTCGGAAAAAGCCGGTATAGTTACAATGGAGATTGGTGTAATGTTATAATTCTTGTAAAACTGGGTCGATGCAATCCGGTTTAATGTATCATAGTTTCCGTGCTGTCTGTATTAATGTTTTCCAATCGAGCGACCCAGAATCAAGTGCAAGTTTAGTGACCAGCAACCCCAAAGCTGCTGAATGGATTACCTGACCCTAACTAAGTAGGTGGCACATGTATAGAACACTACTGTTGGTGTGTGTGAGAGCTTACACGTCGCTGTGAGGACAACACTGGCGAGTTATAGCAGTTTTGAATGTGAGCAAAATGTTTGCATCTTTGAACAATGAGTTAACGATGATCTCAAGTAGGAGGCGCCTTGTGTTTATTACTGCGATGTGGGATCCCATTAAGCAATCACTTTTCACGAGTTAAGATTATTCTCGAGCATGTTCTATGAAATTGGATAGAAGTGGACTTTAACAGCCGCTTTCCTGGCAAAAGTCGGGACAACATATCGTGCGCTGTGCCAGGTAATCAAACTCTGACTGAAACCATTACTTTCCTCGGATACATCATGTAATGAGAAAACGGTTGATCGAGCAAAAGATGCATTGAATCAGCGAATGGGATGGAGGGCACTTTTCAGCAAGCTGCTGGAGAAATGTTAGCAGGCCCCATTAGAGATAAGCAAATGGTTAGCTCCTCTGGATCCATCATCCCACTCGTCAAGAGATAACAGTCTTGAAATGCACGATATCACAGGGCATTTTATCTGAACAAAAACATATTCTGTCGTCGAATAATCAGACCAATTGGGTGGCAGGTGGCGCTTGGAGAAAACGCTGTGGAGAGGAATAGATTCTGATAGGCGATGTACTTATCTGCAACCCTGTTTCAGACGGGGATAGTGTGATCTTGTCAACATGGCATCGTTATTATGTTTGTTTTAATTGCGTTAAGTAATAAAATACACCGTTAATTCATCGTAAAAATACCGTAGAGCCGAAAATGCAAACCCTATTAAAATCAGATCAAACAATCCAATCAAGGCTTTATTCAAACTACACTTTTATACTTCTTTCAACAACCAGAGTTGTTGGCCAACCACTAGGGCGGCTGGACCTATTCAAACGTATCCCCGATTTGGTGGCGATGGTGAACCTCATATTTGTGGACAATATGTCGACTTTGTATTATGTTTATCCAGGCATTTTAGAGCTCAGATCCCACCCTACGATTTGGCTCCAGCCATATACATCTCATGGAGCGTAATTTGAGGGAGTAATAGCTCGGGGGAGGGGCTGACATGGTGACCGTTTGGGGGATTAATGAGAACTAGTTAAATTCATTTGTTTTATGTTCATGCATTCGTGTAAACCAATTTCCAGTCATCTTGAAAATCTGTGCCTTTTTAGACATTTTAATGAAAACCAAATGTTCGACGTTATCATTGCCCCTTGTACACAATGGACCAGGAGCAAGACTACCGTTAAATAAAAGTGGAGTGACTGGTTTACTTTTGTGCTCATTGAACTGTAAAAGGGTATACAAATATAGTATGATGCTTAGCTCGCGCTTTTAATAAACACCATCCCTGGCTGATAGTCATCCCCAAGTTGCCCACAGCATCTCTATCTTCTGAAGTGACTTCGCATCGGCCAAGTACCATCATGGCACAATCAGATAGGAACCCAGCACATCTGGGGTCAGCAAATTAACCCGTACAGCACGATTGCTTGTTACAAGTTATTGAGATTTCTACCCTATAGTGAAAGGTGGGAATCTAAGGAGTTGTAATGGAAGTAAAAACAGCGGTGGGGGTAATGAATGCATTAAACATAATAATATGTGCCATCTCTCCAAGTTGCCTCTATCTGCTGCCCTACGTTCTACTGTTCAAGAATAGTGAGGAATGTCTGTGAAATATCTGTACGTATTTACTGCTTAACAGTTGAGAATACCTAAACACACCTAATAGCCTTGATTTGCTACGAACCCTTTAATACCATCAGCTTCTGAAATTCCATATTTATCTTAATTCCGAATGTTTTTTATGAAAGATGTAATCGTCTGTTTTCTGGTGATCTGCAGGTAACATGTCAACCAATCTTTCACTTGTTATTTTTTGAATGCATGAAACAGTTCTTCCTACTTAACACTCTCTATAAATTTGAACACGCCGGTATTTTAATAGGAAGTTCACATTGAACCAAACTTACCGAGGCATACAAACGCCCTCGCTTGTTCATCGCCAAATATCTGCCAGAAAACAAGCCCTTAATCGCCACAACTCCCACATTAACTGCAGTTATTTCCAATATACCTGAAAAGAAATGAAAATCAGTCAAGACATCCCACCCAACCGAGGGAGATACTAGGGAGACTTGTTAGGGAATTGGGACATCAGGGACATCAGCAACATCAGCAACAATTATACTAGCAAGAAAACACCTGCCAAAACTATACTAACTAATCATGGTAAATATATATCAAGATATCACAAAGAAAAATACATCACCCTCCACCCCAATGAACCAGCGGTTTCAGGCGAAACAAAACATTGTAATAATCCAGGGTAAAGTGATTGACATTGAACTCACTTAATCCCCTAACAGTCTAGAGCTCTCTTTAATGTGCGTCCCAGAAATCTGTTGAAATGCGAGGACACTGGGAAAAGGATTGATTTCGCTTAACCAACACGACAAAAGCAACTCTGAAGATAATTCTATTCCTATGCAGTGGTTATATTGGGAATCTTTTTAATATTTGCTCGAGTCTGTTTTCCAGCGCTTTAGTCTCCAGTTTCCACATCTGTGAATCCTCTTATCTCTTTCGTGTCTAGGAATTGAAGCCCCCGTTACACGCATAACACGCACACACACATAATACAGGTGGGAGAGCTCCGAAGGTGACCTTATTTCGAGCTCGACCATACATCAGAAGTGTCCCACATGCCCGAATCGTGGTTCCACTCGCTTTGCGTTTTAAAATAAGACTTCTGCGGTCTCTAAACCCCACTCGCGTGGACCAGAAACATCCTCGGCTAATCCCTCGTGTTAAGGTATTCATCCTGCGATTCCAATTCATCCCAAATTCGGGCTCAACACGAGTTCCTTGGGACACAAGATGCGCGCATCACAAAAGGTTGGAGAATTGTAACCATTTAAACCGCTTTGTGGTCTCTTAAGAAAACAAATTCGAGTCTGGGCTCATGCGATAGCGCATCGAATTAGGATTGTATCAAAGCACTTTGTCACTGAGCTTTCAGGGGATGTGACGCGTGTGAGGATAAATCCTTCCAAATGCAGCCAAGGCTCGGCTTCCCCAGAGATGGTTAAACAAAGTGACAGCTTTACTGGAGTTACCCATTGTTGGAACCACTTCTTTATCCCTCCGGAACGATCCCCTCTACAACGCGTGAACCGAGAGCCTTCTCAGCAAAAAAAAAACACACACTCTCCGGACGTGGAACCAACCGGTGCGCGCACACGCGGGGTGGAGTGGGTCGGTCCGGGGCACCGATCCGGTTGACTTTGGAGATCGCCAAAGTTGGGTGTCCATCGAGTTGTTAAGTCACAAGTGCTCACACTCAACTTGATGGAAGTCCGTTTTGATCGATTATACAGCGATAAAGGCTGGTGTTCATGTATATGTTCTTACACACACACACACACACACGTGTGTTGTTTCGCCCACAACACGCACAGTCAATTTCACTTTACAGCGTATCCTGTGAAGCGCTTTGAGACGTCTCGAAGACGTGATGAGGCGCTGTATCAAATGCAAGGATCATTATTGTTATTGTTGTTTAGCGTTACTATTAAATGGAATTGGCACAGTAATTTAAACGTGTCGGGCTTTCTCGATGCCTTGATTGGAGGATTTGTATCAGAAATCTCTATAAAAACACTTTCTGCGATACAAAAAAAGCTTTGGAAACACGAGTCATGCCTGGGTGCTCCCATTAATTATTGCACAAAAGCGGTGGCGAACACAAACACACAAATAAAGGCGTTCAATGGCGTTAAACCTGGTTCATATTTAGTCGGATTAAAACGTGTACAGCGAAATCAAGCAATAATGACTTTAACCTGATATTAAGACTTTACTAATGTTTGAAAATTAATATTCGGGTCACCTTTAAAGAAGAATGTCCAACAAATCGCACTCCAAAGGCGCGACATATGCAAGTGATGTGAAAGCAATATACATACACACACACATATATATATATTACAGCTTAGTTGCTGGGTCCTACAATTTCACCTCAACGTGCACTAGTCTGTACTGTCCATAAAAGGTTTACCTGGAAATAAAATCCCATTGAAGAACACCCAGAAAACTGATGGACCTAGTATCCACATGCTCTGTCCCAGGTCCCCACTTACTGTTGTAAAACACTTAGAAAAGTGAAGGAGCGCACCCCCACTCCCCCCCCCCCCACCCCCCCTTTTCTTTTTACTTTACTTACTGAAGACGCTGTTTTTCTCCAGTGTACCATCGATTTTCCCGTTGAGGTGAATCTGCAGATGGTACTTGGTGGCGCAGTACAGCCTCCTGCGTCTCGGTGCACCCCCGAGGTGCTCGTAGACCCCCCCTCGCCCCCCGGCATCTCTCCGAGGTCTGGGCTCACAAGCCGGCGCCGGGGCGCACGGTACCTTCGCTGTGGGTACCCGGGGCGACACTTGCTGTCTTGTGACATCCAGGCAGCTCAGCAACAGGCAGAGGATGATCAACATCGTGGCATGGTCGAAACGCTCCCAGGTTAATAATCCGATGCGGATCAATTGGGTCTGGATTAATTGGGTCAAGGGGTCCCATTAAAGAAGTGTCGCAGGCAGTACCAGGGGTAGCTTACGGGCCACTCCGATCCCGTCGATAAAACATTATCTGCTTCGATCTGCGGAATCGACAGTCATTTAAATGTAAGGGGTCGAAGAGCTCCCAACAGCCTGGCTTAAAGGAGGAGCGATGCCGAGCCTGTTCTCATCCCCCCCCCCCACCCACCCACCCCCCCACCTCTCTCTCTCTCTCTCTCTCTGGGTCGCTCCTACTTTCAGACAGCGCAGGGCAGACTGTGTGTGTGTGTGTGTGTGTGTGTGTTGTGTGTGTGTCTGTCTGTGTGGCTGGAAAAAAAAAGCCACTGATTTTTTTTTCTTCCCCCCCCCCCTTCCCCCCCTCCACCACCCAAACTTAAGACAGACACTATCGTGAGATTTGGTGGCCAAAGCCCGGAGTCGGTGATCGACGGCGCATAGAAATAAAAGAAGTTTGCGGAACAATAGCCGAACTCCGACCAACTGATACAAAGGAGAAGGCAGAAAGGTATCGGTCTCGTGTGAACTCCACAAGAGTTGCGGCGCGGATAAAATTACAGCATTATACACACCGGCTTTATTGCGGAAAACCGCACCACAAAGACCCCGATAGGGCATCTGAGGGCAGATTTTCTTCAGGAAAAAAAAACCCTTCTTAACAGTCCAAAAGGCCAATGATGCATATGAAAAAAAAGCATATATATATTATATATATTTACACACGCTGCAGTTTAGGAGTGAATATTCCCCAGGGTGTGTGTGTGTGTGTGTGTATGTATGTATGTAGGTACGCCAAAAGCTCCCATCTCCTATCAATACAAACTAACAATACGTGACAACCTGGATGACTGATGTAAAAATAAAGCAACTTAAGGGGGGGGGGGGGGGAACAAGTCCCTTTTTACAAAAAGATGCACACACACACACACACGCACAAAAGATGCACACGAAAAGGATTTCAAACACTGTAAATGTTTTTTTTTACAACCAGTACCATTACTGGTACACAGTCTATCCAGATTCCCTAATGTGTAAGTCGAGTTTTTTTTTTTCCCCCCACTTTTCCCACCCAGCGTTCACGATTTTTCACCTTACTTACATTTTTTTTTCGCTATCCAAATTTTCTGTTTTTTTCCTCTCTCTCTCTCTCTCTCTCTCTCTCTCTCTCTTCACAGCTGTTTTATCGGATTTTTCACCCAATAGTAAATACGTTTCTTTTTTTTTTGAACGTCAGGATGGTTTGGCTCAAGCACCACAATGGTTCACTGAGCGAATAAATCTGCAACAACACACGCGGTGTTGTTCCTATCCCCTTTCTCTCCAGTGAGTGTATTTGCAGTAATAATGTTGTTGTTTTGTGAGTGTGTTTTTTTTTGAAAAAAAGTGTTCTCTTTATTGGGGCGGAACAAATACACGGACTGGTAACCCGTTAAGCTGTTTTCCGGGGAATAAAGCCCCTTTCACCTATCTGATCTGATCTGAACAAATACTTCGTAAGAAGTGCTGAAAAGGTTTCACGTGAAATTGCCCTTCCATCGACTACTAAACTGTAGAATGCCCCCGACACACACACACAGACCTAACCCATGAACACAAACCGATTTAAGACCAGTCATTTTAAGCAAGTGATGGAATTAGACATTGTTTCAGAACCTTTACAGTAAAGTCACTAATTCAGTCCATCTTTTCTTCTGGATGATCTTATCTGCACGTTTTGAAATCAACACATACATTTCCAGTCAGCTCCCCTTATTATCCTTTTTTTCAAAAAAAAACACCCATCGCTATCGACACCAAGTCGCATTCCTGAGCCGCTATCAGTTTGTCAGCTTCTCTCCAACACATTAAAGGTGATCCGAGGGGAAACCGAGAAGCTGTTACTGGTTAGGAAGTAACCTTAACTGAAGGGAAATGTCAGAGCAAAGCAGAGACCTCTTCCCGACTGAATGGCAGTCCGGAGAGAGCTTACAGCTAAGTTGGTGTCTTGCGCAACACATCTCATACTTACTAGAATTCAAAACATCTCAACGTGGTTTTATTCCATCATTTTGGGCGTCTGGAATGCAGTACATGTTGAAATACATCTCAGCTAAAGAGACCATGAAATGAGCTGGAGAAAGCCACGCGAATTGCATTGGCGTTGTGTTTTTTTCCCCCTTTAAAAACGAGGTCAACATTTCGTTCCCATTACCTGCTCCCCACCCCCCAATCACGCCAACAAAATCGGTTTAATGTTTTGCAATAAAGATGTATGTGTCTGCACTAATCCCTTGTTTAATGCTGAACGCTCATCAGTGAACTATCCAGTGGGATGGATGATCAACACAACACGCAAATGACCTTTTGCCCAAATTGCTTCCATCCTGGCCACATTATGGTTACCATTTTCATAATAGGCACCATCATCTTACAAATCTCTTTGCCCTCAGCAACTTGCAGCGCACGGGAAAATAGACTTGGGCTTTCAACTCACAGAGAGAAAAAAAGAGAGAGAGAGAGAGAGAGGAGGAGGGGTGGCCCCCGGCCTGGGGGGGGGGGGGGGGGGGGGTGGAGAGAGAGGGAGATCTCAAATCTATCCCTCTTCTGTACCAATTACGTCCTTCCCAACAGCTTCACTTTTTTTTATTTCCAGTTCCGATGCGATGAAAGCGACGTTTAAAAATAACCTGCAATCGACTTTGTTTATTGGCCGTTTTATAACATCCAAGTGGTTATTTTTTTTTTGGTCGTTCCTCCCCGTCAGACACCAACACGCTCAAATACATGTCAGCTCGGTGACGTGAGTTGTAAGTTGTCTGGTGATCATATTTTGGGGGGGTTTAAAAAGTTCTGCCTTTTGATGTGGTCGGCTTGTAACTGAGGGTGGTACTTTAGATGTGGTCCGCTGTCTGTTTCTGGAAGCATTTTTAATTAGCCCCTTAACCTCCCAGAAAGTACTCTGTGGCCCTAAAGCAACAATATGAGAACAGTTTGATTTCCCCCTCCCCTCTCCCCCATCTCCCCTTGATCGTCGGACGAGGCGGTAGTTGCTAATACACAGTATTTCAGTACAAACACAGCTGTTTATCAAAACCATGGCTACACACACACACACACACACACAGTTTAACCATCTCTCTCTCTCTCTCTCTATATATATATATATATGCGCAAGACAGGATAGACTGCACATGTGCTCACATGATTGTCCAAATGTATCACAGTCCACTCTGACATCCTGTTACACGCAGGAGGCACCCAAACATGGTTTATTATAACCACTGCATTACAGGCAATTGCCATGTCAGGAGTGATTCAATCAGGAACAAGTCGGGCTCCCTATATGCGTGTATCTGCATTGCATCTATGTAGATCTGACTGTTCCAATCAGCATTGATTTAATCGTTCGCATAAATGCATCAGAACAATATTAAAAACACAATTTGCTCCCTCTGTGTTTTTTTTTCTAAGGGACGCGCAAAACAGCTGTAATAACGCCAGCTGCAAAAAAAATATTTATATTGTAATACCCTTGGCCCAGCGCCAGGTTTCCAGCTCCTAATATACATACAGTTTATGAATGAATGAATGAATGGGTGGATGAAAGAAATAAATGTTGCTTCTGAACAGGAAGCTGATCACCACGGTATGCCCCCATACCCAATGCACACACACCACAAAAGCACACCATATCTCCTCGTCACTACATGGATTATATATGTATGGAACTTGTCCTCCCATTAAAAACAGGACACACGTACTACATGATACGGTGTCACGATCTTATTAAAGTAAATGATCGCATCTGAGCTATCAATGCATATATTTATTTAGCACGTACAATTATAATAATAATAATCCTTGTATTTGATATAACGCCGTCGAGAAGTCTCAAAGCGCTTCATAGAATATGCTGTGCTGTCTGTGAAGCGAATTGACGGTGTATTTTGTGGGAGGGGGCAAAGTGAGTGAGGTTGGAAATGTGTATTAAAAACGTTTTCCAGGAAGCTCTGCGTTTCGATCATTAAAAAGTGAGAGTGTAAATATAGTTTAGAATGGCCAGGCAGCAATTTCCCGTAGGCAGAACATCCTGTCACTAATTCTCTTTCTGAGTTTAGTAAATGATTTACTGTTCTTGACTGTCGTCTGATGAAGAAAAGGGGAAGCTACAATTTGTAGCCGCAATAAATACAAGCGGTGGGAGTGGTATGTCAATGAATGAACCCCCCACCCACCCACCCCCTCCCTCCTCCCTCGCCAATTAAAAAGTCATTACTTGTTCAAACATGGGACGCTCTATGGCCCTAAAGACCAGATATTCAAAGGCAATCATTAAGTGTTGCTTTCAATTCTGTTTAGTAGTTTTGTGAGCACAACTGCTGGTATGCGCTCTATGTAAAGAGAAGCCAGATTAACTCTCTAACACTAATGAAGTCCTGACTTTATCTTTCAGAGAAGTCGATTCATGTTTTTCCTCCCCCCCCTTTTTTTTTAACATAAATAACTTGCACTGGAAATATATGGGAACGTTCATTCCGTTTTCTTTTATTTGCTTGATTCGCACGTTTATTTCACAATGATAAGGCGGCTTCTGAAATGGCTTTGAAGGATTTACTGATCCATAAATCTACAAGTGCAGATCGACTTTCTGCTTGAAAAGGATGATTAACGTTGGTTAAGTTAGCCAACAGAATGGGATGGATCTAGATTTATTGTTTTTCGCTATTACCTAACACATCTTCACTAATAACATACGGGCTAAATAAACAGCTTGTCACCATATACCGCATTGGAAGGTTAGTCTACCTGCATTGGGAAGTTAGTTTGCTGTTTATCTCTCATTAATGTCGAGCAGTGCGACAACAAAGCATATAGTTGTAACTACTTGAACACAGTACAGCTATGCACAGAAGCTCTCTCCATGTCTTAAGCTCGCCTTTTCA